GCCCTTTGACTACATTGTTAGAGTTGAACAAGGCTGACCAGCTGGGCGACCATAGGAACAACACAGATGGGAGAGTTTGGCATTGCTGGAATACAAATGTTATTGATATTAGTGCTCCCAAGATGTTACCTTGCCTGAAGAGCTCTATATACATGCAAGTTGTTGTTGATGAGATGCTGGTGTCCTTCAGCTGTCAATTAGCCAGGACAAGCACACTGAGTTTATATCCCATGTATATATGCTCCACCCATGTCAATCTCTGACCACAAACAGAATGTTTATAAGACATAGAGCCACTCATGTGCAGTAATTGCCAAGTTTATTGCATAGACCAGGAAGTGACAAACATGATCCAATAGACAGCACCATCACTCAGACATATTCACCATATTCAGGCATAAAGTCTGACCACATTGTTGTAAAACCTGTCAGTTGTTAGTGGAGAGTATCTGAAATATGTAATGTGACTAACGAATAAAAGGTAATAATACCTATACGCAATAAAGAAATAGACTTTATAGTACAATTCAAAAGCCTTGCTTACATTTTAATGTCATTAGCACCATCAGTAATAAGATATTGCAACATACAACATCAGAGGAGGGAGTTTCTCCCGGTGTCCTGGCCAACAATCCACCAAATAAAATTGATCATTCACTTCTAGGCTGTTTGTCGGACATTGTTGTTTGCAAACTGGCTGCTGTGTTTCGCCCACAAAATACACAGTCAATCTATTTTACAATATATCTTGTGAAGTACTTTGAGACATCTCAATGACGTGATAAGGCTACATACCATATATTATATATATAGTATATGTGGTGTGTATATATATGGAAGACAACACTACCATATATTCTTTTGCACACCCAAAACATCCAACAGAATTTTTCTCTTTGTAAAAGAAGGTATGAGCACATAAATCTGTAACATCCCGCTCATTACCTCTCTGTTCAGGGTACTGTTCCAGTCATTAATTATCCTCTGGGTAAAGAAATACTTCCTGAAATTACCCTTTGCAACCCTACACCTGTGCCCTCTTATTCTGCTGACATGGTGTATCTAAAAATATTGTTCTCAGTTTACTTTCTCAATTCCATTTAAAATCTTATAATTTACCCGCTGAGACATCTCTTTGTTGGATATGGAACACACCATTGAGAGGAGGGAACTATTTCCACATCTTGTTGAGCCTCGCTGTTCCATAATTTGAACCAGGCATCATGTCACAGTGTTGCCAGTGAAATGTAAGAATTTTCCAAAATTCAAAAAAAGTTTCACATTTGAAAGACAATGGCCTTAAGGCTAAGCCCACGTGAAATTTAAGGCCACAAGATCCTTCCATTTACAAAATGGGTTTGTATAGTTCCATTACACACAAGGCACAAACTGAGCTGCTCTTTCTTTTTTTCCCCCCCTCTCTCTCTCTCTCTCTTTCTTTCTTACTTACTTTCTTTCTTTTTTTCTGGCTTCTCCCTGTGCCAGAAAATCCTACACCCCAGAAAGATGGAGGCCAGCATAAGGGAGTGAGTGCATTTCACTGAGAACTCTGCAGCTAGACCATTATTCAATGTCACATCAATTGACGTGCAATTGATCAATGGTGTGTGTGTGTGTGGCGTGTTCCTCAAAATGCTTTTCATCATGCGTTTGTGTTCCTGCCATAATTCCTGGGAGCAAAGGTAATCTAAAGGAAACGTGCCTTTTTCACAAACAGGTGTGTTTGAAAGTGCAAAAGATTATATAGTAACGTTGTCAAAACCTCCATGTAATATACACCCAATGTGAATTGTATCAAAATTGATAAATATAGGTAAGTGGACATAAACTAGTGGTGGATTAGTGTTGTATGGACAAGAGTAAAGGTACACCTGTCTTTTTGTAGGTAAAAGTGAAATTATTTGAAGAGTAAAGGAGTTTAGGAGTCCTGTAGCTCAGTGGTTAAAGCACTTGCCTCACAAGCGAGAGACCTGGTTTCAATTCCCGGCAGGGCGAAACCTTGGGAAGGTTTCCTTACTCCACATGCCTGATAATAATCCCTCAAGAGAAAAAAGCAATAATAAAATTGGTCACTTCAATCCACGACCGTTTGTGGGACACTGCTGTGTGCAATTGGCTGCTGCATTTCGCCCACAAATATATAAGTCTTTACAGTTTACACTTTACAGTATATTCTATGAAGCCCTTTGAGACGTCTAGAAGACGTGAAAAGCGGTATATCAAATGTAAGGATTATTATTATTATTAGAAAGGAACACTGGTCTACCAGTAGTCTGCCCTGGAACTATAGGATATATGTATTGGACTGTAGTTGTACAAATCTATGACATGCTTGGGAATAGAAGCTTAGAATCACTGACAATTTATAGCATAGGAGGAGTCCTGTAGCTTAGTTATTAGAGGACTCGCCTCGCAAGCGAGAGGACCTTGGGTCAATTCCCAAGCAGGGAAAAAAGTTGGGCAAGTTTCTTTACTCCACACGCTTCTGTTTACCTATCAGTAAGTAGGAACCCAGTTGTTAGTCGATTGGCGGATCGCTTTTCTGGGGGTAATAATCCCTTAAAAAGCAAATAAAGAAATTAAACCCACGACTGTTTGTGGGACACTGCTGTGTGCAATTGGCTGCCACATTTCAACCACACAATGTACAGTCAATTCACTTTATAGTATATTCTGTGAAGCGCTTTGAGACATCTCAAAAACATGATAAGGTGCTATATCAAATTCGAGGATTATTATTATTATTCAACGCTTTTTTGAGATTGTACTGGTGCAAGATACCCCCACTGAAACCATTTACTCCAATCCCATTTCCCTGCTCTTTACCCATAGTCTTTAATATTATTTTTCCTCAAGTATCTATCCCGTTCCCTTTAAATTATCATGTCCACACTCTACAACACTTAGGAAGGCAGCAGAACTGTTTTTGCTCACTAGTTTCTTTTCCATCACTTGATTAGGTTGCAATCCCTAAGTGCATTGGATTGATGACTTCCAATATACAAGTGCACAAGGTTCTTTGACTGATCCCTACTGCATTTCCACCATTTGTCTGAAACGAGCCAATGATATAGAAATTCAGGGTTGCAGTATCTTGAAAACTATGGCACTATTGTCCGAAGCACTTACATCAGCCATCTCTTTAGAAATTTTCAATGTTTATATTCTCGGAAGTTTCAACCATCTGCTTGCTGAAACCAAGGCACCACAGTGCAGCCCTGCGCACCTTTTCTCTGAGATAATGTCTGAAGCCCCAATTTCCTTAAGCTTCTAGCGTTAACACCATTGTCTTCAAATTTAAGGCTGTGCAGAAATTTGTAAAATTCTTAAATTAAGTCTTTATTTGAATCCCAGTACCCACAAATAACAGATCCCAAATAAAAGTGGTCATTGCCTCCATGTCTGCTTGTGGGACATTACCATGTGCAAATTGCCTACCGCACTCACCCACATAATACACACAGCCACAGAACTGTTCAGTATATCCTGTGAAGAGTTTTGAGATGTCTCAATGATGTGACAAGGCGCTGTATCAAATCCAAGGATTATTATTACTATAACTCTGGATGGTCTTAAGACTAAGAAAAATTTCAGGCTTCTGTTTCTGAGTATCTGTGATGTGTGTCTGCACCACCAGACCCTCATCTAACTGAATGATTGCAGTCAAAATAAGAGGCAAAGGCATGGTTCATGGTTCACGAGGTCACGCTACAGTCTGTGAATTTTCTATCCTTGTGAGCAGAACTTGTAGTCACATTGAACGAGGATACAGCAAATTCTTTATTTCGAGTTAATACTAGTTAAGGAGCTTTTCCCAGAGCTTTACCGACACTTCAGAAAAACAATTGCAACAGCTGAAACCCAGGTTAAAAAAAAACTTTCCAAGGTGGACCAATACACAATCCACCTGGAGTCCTGTAGCTCAGTGGTTAGAGCACTCGCTTTGCAAGCGAGAGACCTGAGTTCAATTCCAGGCAGAGGGCGAAACCTTGGGCAAGTTTCCTTACTCCACACAGAGCCTAATAATAATCCCTCCAAAACCAAAAACAATAATAAATTGATCATTTTCAATCCACGACTGTTTGTGGGACATTGCTGTGCGCAATTGGCTGCTGCGTTCGCCCACAAATATACAGTCAATTCACTTTACAGTGTGTTCTGTGAAGCGCTTTGGGACGTCCTCCCGACGGGAGGGGTGGGGTGGGTGGGGTGGGTGTGGGGGGTGGGGGTGGGGAGGGGCGGTGGGGTGGGGTGGGGTGGCTGGGGGGTGGGGGGGGGAGAGGACAGTGCAGCCCCGGGTCCTGCCCCCCTGGAGCTGCCATTGGCTGTGCGGGGTTTGCGGGGCGGAGATACATATAACCAGTCACCAGAGGGGAGTGGGTCGAGCGGTGAGACCGCAATCCTCTGGGGCTGCGGGTGAGTGAGATGGCAGTGTAGGGGCTCTGCTGCTGCTGTGGTGCTCCTCCTCGCACAGCGCTGCCGTTGGGGACAACAGGAGGAGAGGAGAGAGAGGAGAGGAGAGAGAGAGTGGAAATAAAAACAATCACTGCGGAGCAGTGCTTTTTTTTTTCTTTTTTTAAAAAATAAAAGTCGACCATCACCGCAAACCGGGACCGGAGTCCCCCCACTGCGGAGCTCTCCGCACGTTTTGGATCTGCGGAAAATCTCTCTGCACTGTGTGGAGAGGGAGAGAGAGAGGGGGAGAGGGGAGAGAGAGGGGGAGAGGGGGGGAGAGGGGAGAGAGAGGGGGAGAGGAGGGAGAGGGGAGAGAGAGGGGGAGAGGGGGAGCAGTGCTGAGTGCCCGCGGCCGCTGGTGCGGGAGGAGCGGCACTGACCGACCTCTCAGTGCAGTCCCAGTGGGACACAGACAGAGACCCCCTCACCCCCCTCACCCCCCCCCCCCCCCGGGCGGCTGCTCCTCTCTCCCCGGGACTCTCTGATCCTCACCCCCCCTCACCCCACACCCCCCCCTCACCCCCCACACACCCCCCGAGGGCGGCCCTGACGCCGAGATGGGAGTCGGCACCTCCACGGCGGGGGAGCGCCACAGCCCCCCCGAGAGCCCGAGCGGACACCGGCCCGGGGGCCGGGACAGCCCGCACCGGGAGGCGGCTGAAGCCAAGGTGAGGCTGGGGGGGGAGGGTGGGGTGGGGGACAGTCTGGGGTTGGGTGGAGTGTGGGGTGGGGGGAGTGTGGGGTTGAGTGGGGTGGGGGGGAGTGTGGGTTAGGGGGTTGTGTGGGGTGGGGGGAGTGTGGGGTTAGGGGGTTGGGGGGGAGTGTGGGGTTAGGGGGTTGTGTGGGGTGGGGGGGAGTGTGGGGTTAGGGGGTTGTGTGGGTTGGGGGGGAGTGTGGGGTTAGGGGGTTGTGTGGGGTGGAGTGTGGGGGTGGGGGAGAGTCGGGTTGGGTGGAATGTGGGGTTGGGTGGGGTGGGGGAGAGTCTGGGGTTAGGGGGTTGGGTGGGGTGGGGGGGAGTGTGGGGTTAGGGGGTTGTGTGGGGTGGGGGGGAGTGTGGGGTTAGGGGGTTGTGTGGGGTGGGGGGGAGTGTGGGGTTAGGGGGTTGTGTGGGGTGGGGGGAGTGTGGGGTGGGGGAGAGTCGGGTTGGGTGGAATGTGGGGTTGGGTGGGGTGGGGGAGAGTCTGGGGTTAGGGGGTTGGGTTGGGTGGGGGGAGAGTCTGGGGTTAGGGGGTTGGGTTGGGTGGGGGAGAGTCTGGGGTTAGGGGGTTGGGTGGGGTGGGGGGAGAGTCTGGGGTTAGGGGGTTGGGTTGGGTGGGGGGAGAGTCTGGGGTTAGGGGGTTGGGTGGGGTGGGGGGAGAGTCTGGGGTTAGGGGGTTGGGTGGGGTGGGGGGAGAGTCTGGGGTTAGGGGGTTGGGGGGGGTGGGGGGAGAGTCTGGGGTTAGGGGGTTGGGTGGGGTGGGGGAGAGTCTGGGGTTAGGGGGTTGGGTGGGGTGGGGGGAGAGTCTGGGGTTAGGGGGTTGGGTGGGGTGGGGGGAGAGTCTGGGGTTAGGGGGTTGGGGGGGGTGGGGGGAGAGTCTGGGGTTAGGGGGTTGGGGGGGGTGGGGGGTGGGGGGGGAGTCTGGGGTTGGGTGGAGTGTGAGGTGGGGGAGAGTCTGGGCTGAGGGGGTTGGGTGAGGGGCTTGGATGGTGGTGAGTGGGAGAGTCTGGGGTTAGGGGGTGGGGGGGAGTGTGGGGGGGGGAGAGTCTAGGGTTAGGGGGTTGGGTGGGGGTGAGTCTGGGGTGGGGGGGGGAGAGTCTGGGGTGAGGGTGTTGGGTGGGGTTTGGTTTAGTGGAGTGTTTATTTTTGGTGGTGGGGTGGGTGGGGGGGTGTGTGTTGGTTTAATTGGGGGGTCTTAAATAATAATAATCCTTGCATTTGATATAGCGCTTTTCACGTCGGGAGGACGTCCCAAAGCGCTTCACAGAACACACTGTAAAGTGAATTGACTGTATATTTGTGGGCGAACGCGGCAGCCAATGCGCACAGCAATGTCCCACAAACAGTCGTAGATTGAAAATGACCAATTTATTATTGTTTTTTGTTTTGGAGGGATTATTATTAGGCTCTGTGTGGAGTAAGGAAACTTGCCCAAGGTTTCGCCCTCTGCCTGGAATTGAACTCAGGTCTCTCGCTTGCAAAGCGAGTGCTCTAACCACTGAGCTTCGGGACTCCACCTTCACCCCTGCTGTCATTTTATCTCCAGTGCTTTGTGCCCACACCCTGATCCACATCTCTGATTTTTAAACTCTTTCATTTCTGAAGTTACATTTAGATTTATTTTTCCCCCACCAACCCTCCCCCCCCCCCACACACACACACCAAACAAAGTTGCGTCCAACAGGAATGAGAATCTTTTTGTCATTCACCAGCTCCCAGTGAAGCTGAGCCCTTTGCAAGTTGGGGAGGGAGTTAAATGGTGTAGGTTTCCTGACTCCTGTGGCTGTGAGGTCTTTCAATGTGGCTCGTTGCGGACCCTGGGAAGAGCCTGGGGGGCGACTTGGCAGATCTGGATTTATTTCCTCGGATCCTACCGCCCAGATACTTTTTTTTAGTTTTTTTTTCTCACTGCGCAATTGCATTTCCAGTTCACTTTCATATTTTCTCTCTCGAGTGTGAGGAAGGTCTCCCTCGGGCCAGCCACACGTGTGTGAGGCTGAGTTAGCAAAACTGCTTTTCTCGGTACTATAAACCCATTCCCACGGAACCGTCCGTGTCTCTCTAGCACGAGGGAGCGATGTTTTAAGATCGTATGTGCACACACCCTTCGAGCCCCACCCTGCAATGCTCGTTTTAGTTGACAGGCTCTCGATTCACTGTCCTCTCCCTCTCCCCACTCGCCCCAAAAAAATCCCTGTTGTGTGATACTGAAGAGGTGCCAATGTTGCCTGCAATAAACTGTTCTTAATTTACCTAAAACAAGCAGATGTTCCAATGATCAGGAGAGATTGTGTCAATGCAGCGTACTTCCGAGCTTAGTTTGCTGTTAAATGCTCCGATCACTGCATGAAGGATGCTGCTGTATAAATGCTTGTAGTTGAAGTGCTTTTGTTCTATGTTTATGCCCTCTTTATTGTGTCAAAACGAGGGCTGCGAGTCCTGCAAGTAACGTTGACTGTAATTTATCTGAGGGTCGAAGAAGTTTGCACGCATCAAAGCGTTGTGGGCTTCTTGAATTGCAAAATGTGATTTTCTAAAATGAGATGATTTGGTGAATCTTTCTTGGGTCAAATCACAAGCGAGAGCGAAGAACCTTAATCTGTGCAAAATCTTGGATTGCATTTAACTATACATTGGTACCAGCTGTGTATTTAATGCAACAGCTTGCATTTTGTACAATGCCTTTTTCAAATCAGAAAATGCGTCAAAGTGCTTATTATAATAATTACGTTTGGCATAGAGCCTTTCATGTCTGGAGGACGTCTCAAATTTCTTCACATAATGTGCAGTGACTGCGCATTTTGTGGATGAACACAGCAGCCAATTTGCAAGTAACTTTCTTCCCACAAACAGTCGATTATAGTATTGCGGGGGGAGAAACCCTTCTCTTTTCGAGTAGTGCCATGGGATCTTTAACGTCCACCTGAACAGGTCATCTACTGTCCACATGACACTAGTTACAGTAAAATAAGTCAGTTTGGGTTTATCCTACTTTTTGAAATATTACTCTCTAATACAATACAAAATTACATTTGTATAGTGCCTTTCACGTTGGGAGGATGTCCTAAGGTACTTGGATGAAGATGAAGCTAATCCCAAAAGGTAGATAATCTTTCCCAGCTAGAGAAGCAGTAGGGAGGGAAGTGGGAGGTATGGCCAGAGCTTAGTTGCTAGATCTGGCTGGGGAGAAGAGACTCCTGAGAGGTAACCTGGTGAGTGGGTGTTTGGTGAAGATGGTTTTGGGATCAGTTATGGCCTGGTGTATATCATCTGTGTGGCACATCAGTGGCCGAGCCTTCAGTTAGTACACCCCTAACCTCTGGAATTCCCCGCCTCTATCCCTTTATCTCACCCCTCTCTCTATCTGTCTTTAAACCCCATCTTAAAACCTATTTCAACTGTGCCAATGGTCACCTCCCTCTCTTTTTCGCTTCCTTGGTGTCTGACCGTGCCACTGTGAGGTTTTCAGACATTATCCTACTTGAAGGGTGCTATATAAATGTCCACTGTTGTTTGTCTGCTTACTTTGTACCCCAGTACAATACTCTATATACCATACTCCAGTAGAGGTGTAATATTGCTGTTGTGTTTGAGAGATCTCAGAGTACGTACAGGAAGAATATATAGAATGTAAGTTTTGCATACACTGGAGTAACAAGCAGCGTTGAAGGGAGAGAAAGGAACTGAAACAATGCTAAAATGGATTGCTTGGAGGTCCACAGCAATGCTTGGAGCTAAATTCAGCTGAGCATGTAACAAAAATGTATTTGAAAGGAAGAGCAACAGATTCCTGAAGTCTCTTCTCACTGCATTGTCAGTTTCAGCTGCTTTGAATCTGGAGTACTCCAGGAATTCTTTAACACTGCCAAGAAAATGGCCAAGACTCTTGGGAGTTAAAGGCTTTTGTAAGACATTTTCTTACTAACTACTTGGCAAAGCAGTTGTGTGTTCTTTCCAAAATTCTTCTGCTGATTAAACCCCCATAACTTTTATAGAGTTTCTGATTCTATACAATGGAAACATTTGCTTGCTGATAATCTACAATTTTATTTAACTTGAATTGGGGGAAATAAACCCCTCAAAAAGTTGAACTTAACTCTTGCATTATTCTAAGTATATTTAATGTCGAATTGAAAAGTAAAGCAATCTATATGGTTGTTACTATTTTGCTAATGTACAACAACAACTTGCATTGATATAGCACCCTTCATGCGGAATAGCGTCCCAGAGTGCTATATGCTTTTGTAATGTTCAGATCTTAAACCCTTTCTATAATAATAATCCTTGAATTTGATATAGCGCTTTTCACGTCTTCTAGACGTCCCAAAGCGCTTCACAGAATATACTGTAAAGTGAATTGACTGTATAGTTGTGGGCAAACGCGACAGCCAATTGTGCACAGCAGTGTCCCACAAACAGTCGTAGATTGAAAATGACCAATTTATTATTGTTTTTGGTTTTGGAGGGATTATTATTAGGCGTGTGGAGTAAGGAAACTTGCCCAAGGTTTCGCCCTGTCTGGAATTGAACTCTGGTCTCTCGCTTGCAAAGCGAGTGCTCTAACCACTGAGCTACAGTACTCCACTGAGCTACAGGACTTCTGTAGTATGAGCTCAAGTCCCGGTCCTTTCAGAGGAAAATTATTACTGTATTTGTTAAACACGACTGATTTTTGCTGATGTCTTTGAGGAAAAATGTTAGATAATTAGAAGCATTACTATCCCCAATCCCCCTGAAGAAAATAATAACAATTCTGTAAAATAATTGTTTTTTAAACAAATATTTGATAAACTATCAACTGGTAATTGCTCCTGTAAATGAAGTATTATTGATCTGGATTGGTAGAATATGACTGGATAGAAAGAAAGACTTGCGCTTTGATAAGGCGCTATATCAAATGCAAGGATTATTATTTTTAAATAAATTGTATTATCTTGAACTTTTCCCCCTTCCCCCCACCCCCCAACTTCA